CTTCCTTCCTTCCTTCCTTCCTTCCTTCCTTCCTTCCTTCCTTCCTTTTTCTTTCTTTCTTTCTTTCTTTCTTTCTTTCTTTCTTTCTTTCTTTCTTTCTTTCTTTTCTTTCTCTCTCTCTCTCTCTCTTTCAGTTTTTTGAGACAGGGTTCCTCTATGTAGCCTTGGCTGTACTGGACTTGCTTTGTAGACCAGGCTGGCCTCAATCCACCTGCCTTTGACTCCCTGAGTGCTGGGATTACAGGTGTGTGCCACCACACCAGGCTAAGAGGGAACTCTTAAACCTCACAGGAGCGCATGGGGACACATACATACCCTAGCTCATAGAAGGCTGAGGCAGGAGGATCACTGAGTTCCAGCTAGCTTGGGCTAAATAGTGAGACCCTGCCTCAAAAAAACATAAACAACACAAAAAAAGCCTCAATAACAAAATAAGATCCTAACTGAAGCATTGGCAAACTTAAACATGTCTCCAAAAAACATATATAAATGGCCAATCTGCACAAGACAAAAATACTCAGAATCCATACTAAGAAAATGCACAATGAGAGGTAATGAGATGGCTCAGTGGTTAAAAGTGCTTTGCATACAATCCTAGTGACCTGAGTTTAATCCCCAGAACTGACATAAAGGTAGGCGAGAACAGACTCCACAAAGTTGTCCTCTGACCTCCACACACACTCTGTACACATGCACACCACAGTAATAAAAATACAATGAGATGTTGCCTTATGCTCACTTTGACGGCTACAGTTAAAAACAACTGCCTGGACTCTGGGCATGGTGGCACAGGTATGTTACTTTGTCACCTGGGAGGTATAGTGAGAATTTTGGAATTTTGGTTTCTTTTTAAAAACACAGAAATATTGTAAGAATATATTTTTGTTTTAATCCCAGGTGTGGGGATGGGGCTGCTTCCCAGCAGCTGACTATGATTTGCCTCATGCTCTAGCAGGGACATGATTTTGGGAGCTGCAAAAAGTTTCTGCAACTATGTGTAACGTTTGGAATTCCGGAGACTTTTTAGATGCTAGGGCCCTGAGAGGTGGGGTTGGTTGTTGACTGCTGTTGGTCACTGTTTGTTAAGTAGTCTTGTTCATGCACAAAGAAACAACAACAAGAAGAAATTAGACATCCTGATGGCAAAGGTCAAATCTAAGGAACTCTACACCCCTAACCAACAGGAAGTACTATAACCAACAGGAAGTAATCTAAGGATAATGTTGCCCCTTTATAACCCCTGACTTTATTCAGGGATCTCTTTCCTTTCTT